GACTCAAAATGCTCTGAGCTCAGTTAGCTGCACCCAACCTCTGTTACCTTTGGCTAAAGTTAATGAGCGGAAAGGGGAAGAAAGCGGAGATTGAGTCCTTACCAGACCAAAGTTGGTGGGGACATGTCCACACCAGTCCTTCTGAAAGTTCCATTTGTGCTCCATAAATAATTAATTTTAAATTTTTTCCCGTATCTTTTTGACATAAGCCCTTCTTTCATTTCATTTTTCTAATTTGTGAAAGGAATCATCCAGGTTTATGTTCGGCTCATGCCAATGGACTTATTCCGTGTTGTTGCAGGTACAGAAACGCTCAGGGGCTTGGTTTTATAAGGGCAGAGATCAACCAGGGCTGCCCTCCCCACTGCCTCTCTCCAGCACTCTACAGTCCAACACAGACAACAGCACCGGACAAGGAGGCCACAGTCGGTCACAGGGACAAAGACAGCATCCTCAGACTGATGGTAACCAACACTAACTAATCCAATAATTCATTGTAGTGGGAAAAAATTATTCAACTACTCATCCTAGTTAAATAAACAGAGATCGATGGATTTCACTCAGTTGGCACATTTATTAATATCTTTGCAAAGAGAGAACAGTTCATCATACAGCCCTCATGGCATAGCATTCTGCTCTGTTCTGATCTGGGCAGGGTTCGTCCCTCCCTACTTACAACAATGGAAAGCAGTCAGAGTCATAACAAATTACACACACTTTGGTTAACAGTAACATGTTATGAATAAACCTTGTGAAAGAGCCTGATTTGTTATGGGAAGAAGCTATGTCTGGTCTACAAACACCAGCCTGGAGAGAAATATGTGGCCTTGAAAGAGAAACAGACTGAGTGAAAACTTTTATAGTGAGTAAACACGATAAATTAATATATAATAGAAGAAAGATAAAAAATTTCCGACAACATTCATCACATGCGGTTTGGTTTAAGATAAACGATTTTAACCACAAAACAAGAGGCTTATTGGTGTAACAGTCGGACTTCATTGGTCCTGTGCTGTAAGGTTTAAAGATAGACGTGTTTGAGAAAGATGTGCTAAGCTTACTTGATCACTTTTTCCAAATTAGTGGAAGCTTTCGGTAAAGGCCATATTGCACACTACTTTTTAAGGTGCATGGTGGGAAATTTTGCATCCACTACTTTTTCATCCACTAGATGGCTGAATCCCAAACCAGCCCCTAAACACTAAAGCCTGGTTTATGCTCAGAAACCAGGTGTTCTGCGTGTGTGTCGCAGTTAACGCAGATATACCACCCACCACTTCCACAGACACTCTGGTGCACCTCCCCAAAATTGTAGGTGACCGCAATTTTGTCAAACTGACACACAGACTCCTGGGAGCAGACACACTCCTACAGCAGTGTGTCACAGTTAGCTTGTTCTTGGTATTATGCAGGTATTTTTGATTTATGCCCAATTTTGAAGCATGGTCTGTGCTATGTTATTCCACGCCACAACGCAAGAGGGACAATTATAAACTACCTGGGATTGTGTCTGCGAATCGGTTTGTGGAGCTTGTTTGCCGTCTACAACCCCTCATCTAACGCCAGATGATACACAGTTTACCCGTGAGTGTTCCCGAAAGACTAGCCGTGGTGCTGCGTGTTTTGGCTTTGGCTGTAAACAACAGACCGTCGAACAGAGCTACAAACTAGCAACCTGTACATTGTCTGGGATAGTATCCGAGGTGTGCCAGGCGATGTGGACGGCNTTTCCGACAACATTCATCACATGCGGTTTGGTTTAAGATAAACGATTTTAACCACAAAACAAGAGGCTTATTGGTGTAACAGTCGGTCTTCATTGGTCCTGTGCTGTAAGGTTTAAAGATAGACGTGTTTGAGAAAGATGTGCTAAGCTTACTTGATCACTTTTTCCAAATTAGTGGAAGCTTTCGGTAAAGGCCATATTGCACACTACTTTTTAAGGTGCATGGTGGGAAATTTTGCATCCACTACTTTTTCATCCACTAGATGGCTGAATCCCAAACCAGCCCCTAAACACTAAAGCCTGGTTTATGCTCAGAAACCAGGTGTTCTGCGTGTGTGTCGCAGTTAACGCAGATATACCACCCACCACTTCCACAGACACTCTGGTGCACCTCCCCAAAATTGTAGGTGACCGCAATTTTGTCAAACTGACACACAGACTCCTGGGAGCAGACACACTCCTACAGCAGTGTGTCACAGTTAGCTTGTTCTTGGTATTATGCAGGTATTTTTGATTTATGCCCAATTTTGAAGCATGGTCTGTGCTATGTTATTCCACGCCACAACGCAAGAGGGACAATTATAAACTACCTGGGATTGTGTCTGCGAATCGGTTTGTGGAGCTTGTTTGCCGTCTACAACCCCTCATCTAACGCCAGATGATACACAGTTTACCCGTGAGTGTTCCCGAAAGACTAGCCGTGGTGCTGCGTGTTTTGGCTTTGGCTGTAAACAACAGACCGTCGAACAGAGCTACAAACTAGCAACCTGTACATTGTCTGGGATAGTATCCGAGGTGTGCCAGGCGATGTGGACGGCACTACAGCCAGAGTTTCTGCCATTAGGTACCAAACAGGAAATACTCATAGTGAAGAGCAGATGTAGAAGTGGCCAATCGGAGTCCTTCTTTCTCTCCATCCTGCAACGCTATCTGAGGCCCTGTCTGTGGTCACCTACAATTTTGTTGAGGTGCACCAGAGTGTGTACCTAAGTTTGGGGGGGGGCATATCTGCGTTAACTGCGTCACACACACAGACGACCTGGTTTCTGAGCATAAACCAGGTTTAACCCTAAGCACTAACCTCTTTCCTGCAGAGGGTCAGCCACATTAGGGGCCATCCCAAACCATGTAATGGGCGAGTGTACCGTTCAGCCCAAAAAAGCAAGTCTGCATCAGAGCAGGCTCGCTGGAATTTGGTTGTGGGTGTAACGGTGAACTAGTGGTGGAAGAAACACATGCATTGAAATGTAGGTTCAGCTGGTTTGCTGCATCTTCGTCACACTGACAGAAAATCACCTGTTAGGAAAAAAAATGACTTCATTAATCCCTTAATGGAAGATCGTATTTGAAATAGTTTGATTTGACTTGATAGAGTTATTTTTAAGAAAATGGCAAATCTTTGATCTTATGTTAACCTGCACCACAGGGCTACACCAACACACATGCATTGTTAAAGTGTTGCCATAGAAACAATTGCTTTCCCTTTCTGTTGGAGGGAAGATGCCGTCCCATAAATTTTTATACCCTCCACCTTTAACCAAGGCGCTTTTCACAGCTTTAAGTATGGCTTTATTGCGAGTGACACTTAATGGTTAAGGGTTAGTGGTTAGGGGGATTTAGCCTACATTTGGACACTCATATAGAATGCTGTAACCACTATATAATGACGTTTACTGGCGTTAGGGAGGATGTTCGGACACAGTCTCTGTTTTTTATAATATAGTCCATGAAACATGCCAAGCCATCAAGAAACCTTCCACTGAACAATATCTGCTGGTTTTGCCTTAAAAATCTGCTGATATAAGGTTTGCTCTGTAGTACGTTCTTAATTTTCATTCCAACATTGCTTCGCTGTGGTCGCCAACTTGTTGTAATATTAGCAGAAAAGCACTGCTGCATTTTGGGTAATTCTGGTGCTGAGAGACACGCATC